ATAGGTATAAGAAAAAAATTTATCAACGCGTTAATAAGTTAAACTTTTATGCAAAAGAAAATTGTTGGGAAATCAACATCCTTTCCTTACACGAGTGAAGCTTCAGAACTCGGGATTAAATCCCGAGTTTCAATCCAGGTCGAGGTGGCAACACCTTGGCCGTTGATCTTCAATCACACGGGACCCGCGCCATTCACATCGGGGGCCGAGGTGGCAAAGCCAAGATTTTATCCCTGTTTGAGCAGCAATTTCCTTCTTACACATCTATTTAGATGATCAAAGACGTAAACACAAAATACAATAGGGTTACTCCATTTGTAATATAATAATAGGAAATAAATCCACACTTTAAAATTTCACTATTTAACCACTAGGCTTTATAATGTTTATTATGTTATTTATTGAAATCGGTTGTATGAGTTTAATGTTCAGATAATTATTGAAAGCGTATGGGATTGTCGATAACTAATAAATTAGTGAGTTGAGATTATCATTTCGATATTATCCAGAGAATATATTCTAATTATAGTATACTAATTTTCTATCAATTTCGATGTAAGTAACACAAAAGAGATGTATGATTTGGTATTATTCTAAATTATGCTATGAACTATGTAAAATGCGGTGGTTTTTATCAAATTATGGAATGAATGTATTGGATGTTAGAATTCATCTATTGGCATACATTTCCAATTCTCAACTTACGTTTAGGGTTGTTCAATTGCGCTTTACAATCAATAATCATATGTTGTATAACTTTCTTTATAAGATAAATCGAACATATTTTAAGCATGATCCGATCCTATTCCTAGTCCAAATTTATATGCGAAGACATGAATTCAATCACACGACTATCTAATAAGATTGTACATGCCACAAATATTATTCATAACATCTAACATCTAATATTTGTATGTCAATTATGCATTGTTCTAAACCTATTTTGAATTTCTCAAACTACAACAGCCATTAAATTATCTAATTGATGATCAAACAATCATATAACACTACAATCATGCATAACCAATTAAGACAATTGACAAAAGAATCTACTAAACTAATTGTCTTTAAATTAGAAAGAAATAATCAATGATCTTATCTTCATCCAATACAATAGAGAAATAAGTCTAACATGTTCGAATGTAAATTACACAGAAGACTAAAAATAAAAATCGCCCGAATAAAGAACAAGAGAAGAAACCTTGAAAAATCAACTTCTTGTTCTTGAATATTGAATTCGAGCTCTGAATCTTCAATTTCTTGTGTTAATTGCACCGTAAACTCTTGCTAGACTTCTTCTCGATGTCATATGTTTTAAAGATACGATCTTGATGGCCCCCAATAGGTTAAACAGAGGCTACAGAATCATTCCATAAAGAGTTTAACTTTAAAAGGAAAATCAAAATTTTAACCTACCGAGACGCTCATGCCTGGGCATGAGTGTATGGCTTGCCCAAGCCAATTTTGTTTTATCCTCTGTAAGGAAGGCCTTGTCCATCTTGGGGACCAATTTGCCACAAGTACGTTTGGGCATCGTCAATCTCTTTCATTCCGTTGTTTTCTACTCTTGTTCAATTGACTCCTAGGACTCTTCAATCTTCGACAAGAGGCCCGGAACAACTTTTGCGTATTTATACTTTAATCTCCAAACTTTGAATTTCTTGCTATTTTGCTCCCTTTTGTTCATTTTCTCCAATTCTACCATTTTCATCGATCTTTATCTAGCAAACACAATTTACATAAAATTTAAGTCATATTTCATCAATCTTTCCAACAAATACTCTAATTTAAAGATCTAAATAAAATGTACAAAATATACTTATCTTTTAAATTAAGGAAGAAGTTTATTTAACTCACGAAATGCTTATTAAGTGATGCAAGTGTAGAAAATATTAAGAAAAGGGGAACTTGATATTATTAATTATTATTATTATTATGACTCATTATGCCACCATTTGACCCTCATTTTTCGGAAATGAAAATAGGTGGAATAGTATCTTTTTGAAAATGAATGGTTGAAAAAGAAATTTTTTTTTTATTTACATGTAATATTATTTTATAAAAGACTGTGTGATTGAAATTAAAAGAGAAAAAAATAAAATGTAATATAATGAGTACCAAACGAGAGCTATGTCTAGCAACATGTAGCAAACATTCTGATGCGACTTAATAAAGGTTGCAATGGCTGCTTTGATTATGTTTTTATTAAGAGCTCGTTTGATATGATTTTTAAAACGTCAAAAAATTGATTCTGAGATTAAAAAGCTATTTTTTGACATATTTGGATAAATTTTTTTTACTTTTTTATTTTTTTATTTTTGAAGTGTTTTATCTTGTTAAAAGAGCTTTTTAGAGGAAACTAATGTATTTTTACAAAAAAATGCGAGCAAAAACAAAAGCTCTACCAAACCGCCATAAGTTGGTCTTATATTTTAATCTGCCATTACAACCCAAAGTTGTTACAAACAAAGGTGTTCTTTCAACATAGCTCTCTCCACGATTCAACTCTCCTTTATAATGAACACTGACAAGGAAAAAAATGATCGGAGTAAACTAAAGCGCGATGATCTGTCTTAGCTGGCACAATAATTGGAACAAGATGAAGATTTTGAGGAGTGCAAAAACTGGAACTGATTGCTGTCCATGAGATATTATTTATCCCTGCAAGGATATATTGATGTCCGTCGTGGACTTGCTCGAGTTTTCTGCAGTTGGAACAGCCCCCAAATTATTCGTCATGACTGTAGACTGAGGCAGAAGATTGCCTGTGTCGAAGCTCTTATTCTCTGCATCGAAAGAACGAGGAATACCAACAGGGATTGATGCATTGATATTCAATGTGGCTTTTGCTTTCGGCTTCTTGGGTTTTAGCTCTGGGTCGCCGCTTGGTAGAAAACTGCCCACAATCACCTGATATAAATTTGGGGGGAGAGAAAATGAAGAAGGCTACAAGAACAAACAGGAAAACTTATACATCATGTACGTCTTAAATCAGCATAATTTGCCCGTTTTGGTACATCCCCGTTTGCACTTTTATTCCCAACATCGGTTTTCTTGGTATTAAACCCCTCCTCACTTTCACTAACAGGAGCACACGGTCCATATTGAGGACTTCTGTTGAAGATACATTTAAGTTGATGCAAAAAGATGAATCCCACAACCTTAAATAAGCAAACAAAGGTTGAGGGTAATTATGTGGAAATCCTGGGTCCGCCATTGTTTGATAAGGAAAATATATCCACAAGTACTTTCTAAAATCTTACAAGCAGTTGAGGGATAACAAGAGAGGCAAAATTGAAGAACCAAATGGAAGATGAAATACCTGTACAGGACTAGCAGCAATCATCAATCCAGCAATCAGACCTCCCACAACACGACCATCAGGACTTGCCAAAGAGGTGCTCATGATGCCAGATCTTGGGTCTTCCATGTCGAAAGGAGTAAAAGATCCGGACAGAGAGAGAATTTCAAACCGACCCTACAAGTGAATCATAGGAAGAGTCCCTCACGTTACCAAATTATACAGTACACATGAACTTGGAAAGTAATAGCAGAATCCAATACCATCATGGGAGAGCATTGATTTTGAACTGATGGGGTTACTTAGGTTTGAAGCCAACACAGATAAATGTCGTGCATTAGACACATAGAAGAAGTTTTAGGAGAATTTAAGGTAGAACAAGAGCTTCCAAATAGAAGTCAAGACTAAAAGACAATTCTGCAGAAACTTATCAAAATATAAAATGTCGGAAGCTTTTGGAAAAATTAAGTTAGCTCAATGTGAAGCCAGAAGGGTCATTTCAGGAATCCCGCAAGGAAGAATATGAAAGTTGTATACTTGTCATGGAACTACAGTCGGAGAAAAAACTATTTACAAGATATGTCGACAAAGGGAAGGGAAAGTGGAAATCTGAACCAAGTTATTAAAGATGAGAGTCAAACCGTGTTTGTTTGCTTTGTAATGAAATGAAATGACAAAAGGATTGGGTAGTAACTTCGAAAAATCATGCAATGAAAGGGATCATATAGATACTGATTTGTCTAATTTCACTGCAGATAGAATGCTAAGAAGTTCGCTTTCAGATTTAAGAGTGAAGGAAAAAGATCTGCATGTGGTTCTGATTGATCCAGAAAAGCCTATGAATAGTACATAGTAAAGCGCTATGGTGGGTGCCAAAGAGAATTGGATGACATAGAGAAAGCTACAAGAATTCAATGTGATAATTAGATCAGCGGCATACCTCATAAGTCAAGGTATTCCCAGACAAATTAGGCTGCCGAAGTGTAACTTTCGAGATCAAACCAACAGCGGAAATTATGCAAATAGCTCGAGGTCCTTCTAAAGAGAATGACATAACCTTATTTGAAACATCCTATGAAATAATAAAACTAATTAGAAACATTATATGTCTTATGCACCAATAGATAAATGTCATAAATGGAAATACCAAAAAGCTGTTGTAACAGATTTTTATCCAGCAAACTGCAAGTTGTGCCTGTCTAGACAATCAAGATGGAGGCTATTAAATTCCTTGGATACTGATCACTAGTGATGTGTTAATTATGTCAAGTGCAGTCACACATTAAGTTATTGACAATAATGTGCTTTTTAGTTTTAATATACAGCCTTTCCTTGAAATTATACAACTGAATTATAAAAGTTAGAAATCTCTCCCTCTCTTTGCAATCCTCCCCCAAGAACCAAACTCAACAAACCAAAAAGAAAGGCCAGAAGCTCTATTCTATCTGCAGTAACAATATCTACAACAATAGTTTTGAGTTCCAACTCCACTTTGCCTCGAGTGTATTGAGATGCTTATTTTAAAGAGTCAAATGGTCCCAAGTTAAAATAGAAACAATGAAAGAAAGAAAATATAATAGATTAATCAGGCCCAGAAAACTAAACATGACAAAATTAAATTAAATGAAAGATATATGAGGCTAGTGTTAAGTTGTGAAGCCTAATTATTGACGTTGTATAGAGCCAGCATGCGGATCAACCTCCATGATGAGGTCACCATGGGTTGGATGGGGGGCGTCATGCTCATCTTCCCGAGAGATGTGGGAGGCAGAGCCTAAAACCAAAATTTCATAAAGTATATTAGGAATTTCACACTTGTAATTTCGGTATTGCTTAATTTGTTTTATAAATAGGGAGCCGTCATTATCGTTTTTTATTACCATCATACAAGAAAGAGGTTAAAGAAGATAGCGTGTACGATTTTACAAGCGTACAATTGTCTCCTGTAAACTTCTTTTCATCATAGTGAATTATTACAGCGATGGAAGATAACGTAGTCTCACATTATTGCAAACCTCTATGAAACTTGAGCATTCTTGTGTCTACAATCTTTCTGTGAACTTATTGCTCTTGATGGTAGAATTAGGATTTCCAATTTTCAACAGTTGCAGAATTAATTTAGCAACGGTTGTTATGGGATTGGGCATGGAAAAATAGAGAGATTATTGACAACCAGTGGCTTTCTGAGTCCAAAAGACAACATGAAGTGAAAGGAACGTCCATATAATAAATGACGAAGAATGTCATATCTTATTAAGTGATAGCTATGCAAGGGATTAACAAAAACATGAACATTTTAACAAACATGATAAATGCAAACATTTCTCGAATTTTGACATCTAGTTTTTTTCAACAGATCTAATAGGTATCCATCTGTGCATGAAATTATTCAAGAATTAATTGTTGGGAGGCGATCACAAGACATTTTACTCACCAAGCTTCAACTTTAAGTTTTTTCAACCACTAGAACAATGCCTCAATGTCATTAATGCCATAGTTTTCCATTTGACATCTAGCAATATACACAAAAACTAGATTTATATTACATATCCAAAATGTATGTTTTGAAGTTCGACTTTGTATTTCACTCAACACATCTTGTTCTTTTTCCTCAACAATCTACTTGATCAACAAATTACTACAGGTGTGAGATACCATGATCCCATGGCAGATATTCAGGAATCCTTACAAGTTATATTCAAGTATAAGCTATATATCACACAGGCAACTATTATGTAGTTCACAATTAACAAGTCAAGTTGTGTCTTTGGGCAACAAATCAACCATGCATAATCTGGGGCTTCACGATAAGGTGCAGCTACAAGTTTAGGATAGCACGTTTAGCTAAGCTTAAAAGGTGATTTTAAGCAAAGCCGAATATACTCTAAATGCTGCATTGTGTGTATGGATGGTTGGGGGACACTCAAATCCTGTATCTCCCAACTTGTATTAGACTGTGTGAAGCCTATATAATTTAAAATGTACACTTACGTATTTGCATTAGGTTGTCCTACAATCTTACAACATATAAAGGAATTTTATGGAGCTGTTTCGTGGTGAGAACAGACTGATAGGAATAATACTATTGTAATCTACTTCTTCATAGTGAAACCTGCAGCAGCAGGTCACATCACTCTCACACTGAGGGCTGGGGTAAACCACTAGGAATGTGCTCTTCTGACTTCATTTTCGTTATTACTACTATTGTTATTGGGACTAGAGTTTACCCCCAACATCTTTAACCATGTAAACATTAAGAGTATCTCTAAGAGACTATATTTTTAAAGAGCATATTTTGTAATTTAGAGAGTATCTATAAATTTAGAAAATAATTTTTTTTAAGTATTTTGACAGATTCTTTATATTTAACACTTAAAAATTCTATTACTCTAAAAAAAATATTTATTGTTTTTCTCTAACTTTTATTTTCACTAGCTTCCCTCCAAATTATTACATTATGTTCCTCAATTGGAAATTGAAATATTTTGAATACATTTAATTATAGAGAGTGTGTTTGACTTTCTAAATTTGGAGAGCCAAATTCACTTTTTATTTTAAAATGTTAATTTAAAAAATCTCATGGAGCATAATTTTAAGAGTTGAATCTTTAAAATAGAGAGCTTACTATATTTAAATAGTCTGTTGGAGATGCTCTGACAAGGGTGTCAATGATTTCACACAAAGAGATGGCGAGATCCAATTGTTCATCCCAGGTCTAAGAATTGTTTTAGCAGTGCACAAGAATGTTTTGTGTATCCCACTCCAACATCAACTATAAGTAATTTTTTTTATCATAGACAAGCCAACTACTTCGGATACACAGCTGCATATCATGCACGGGGCTAATGAGCTAAGGTGTTTAGGTTCTCCATTCCAATACATATGTAAGGATATTTACGACTTCTGTGCAAAAGGCAGTACCAACTACCATGTATAGAGAAAATGCAAATGATCATGAAAACAAAATTTTACCGAATTAGATCAAATTAACTTCTGATGTATCCGAATCTTATTAAACTTACCTCGCCAGTATCAACAGTGAGAAGGTGGGGCAAAAAACTTCCACCAGTAGAGCATGAAACCCATTCACCTGGCAAATATAAGTAAAGAAAGAGGCATTAGAATATTTCCGGCTCTGAATCACAAATAGTATCATCAATGAGCCTGACTGAACCCCAAGAAGCTACAATTGCACCAATTTAATAAACCATATTCCTGAGACAGTGGAGCAATCATTATTACCCCTAACCAATTTATACAGCAACTATCTAGATTTATAAGCTAGTTTTCACTACATAGCTATAGGCATTCTCTTTCAAATTAACCACTATACAATCTTAACTTGAGAATAAAATACTGTTTGAAGAATTGATATTACCTATTTTTTCTGTTCCAACTTTAATCTTATGTTTTTTCTCCGAAACAGTTGGCCTGACAACACTGGATTGCTCAACATAGAAGTTGCCCGAAGCCGGTGGAGCTGATGATGATATAGGTGTAGGTGAAAGCACAATTCGAGCAGAACCATCAGGTCCATACTTCCTGGGACGACCTCTCTTCTTCTTCTCTGACGTACCGGACAAGCCTGTGCTTGCCATGGATGGCGTCATGGGCTGTACACTAGTGACTGGAGTTGGGTTTTCCTTCCACGGCGGAACATGGTAGCCTGATGGAGCTTCAGGAGATATTACAGTCACCCCTGAAATTCCTTCCCTTGACTCCATGGTAACTTTACCCTGATTCTACAGCTGCAAAGGCAAACTAATTGACATAAT